CACACACACACACACACACACACACACACACACACACACACACACACCTTGCCAGAAAATAAAACTCAGAGTTACTCTTCTGGGCTAAGGCCATCTTTCTAATGTGATTTGATGTCATGCAAGTCACTTGTGCTCTGAAACCTGCTAACCTACTTAATCCTGCTGACCAATCATGCCAGTCAATCATATGTAGTATTCGTAAATTAAAATTCAGTAAGAATAAAACCATTAAAAGCATTCAATAACAACTGTGATTGCTGACTAGCATGCTGGGCAGGATGACAACCTTTCTTTGTCAGCACTAGTCTCATTGCTCAGGCTTCTTCATTTGTCAAGTGAATTCTCATAAGTTATAAAACAAGTAGGTATTTGCAAAATCCTCAGCATATCACTCACCAACAGTCAGAATTTAGACAACTTTCTAACTTAATGCACCATTCCCGTGCACCTTCTATGTCATATGGCAGCTAAAAATGTTAATCTGTAACAACAGGAGAAAAGGCAGAACATATGGGATGAATACAAGCTGGGGTGTCCTTGTGGAGGTTTATTCAAGTTATGCTTTTCTTACTATGGCTGTATTCTCTTCGTCAAATAGGTGGAAATGATTAGGAAGAAAGTGGCAAACTAGAGATTGCAGATAATCTGTTGTTTTCTTGTGATTTTTTTTCCTTTTGCTTCACTAAAATACAAGAAAGTTGGGCCAGAAATATTGCTCATTTGGTAAAGCGATTGTCTTACAACCATGAAGATCTAATTTCAATCCCAAGAGCAAGTGGGAAAAAAAAGTCCAATGCAGTGAGCCACACATTTAAACCTAGCACATGAAAGCAGAGATAAGAGGATCAGTGACTGTTGACCAGTGAAGCTAGCCTCTTTGGCAAATCTCAGGCCATTGAGACTTCCTTCTCAAGCACCAAAGAGTATAGTTTCCTGAGAAGTACATGCAAGATTGATTTCTGATGTCCATGCACAAGCACATCCACATACACTCATGCAAGTGATCTGATATGAGGAAAAGGAAAGGGAGTTCCCTTAGTAGGGAGAGCATGAGTTTCTCCTGCAGAAGGAGGGATGTGGGTAAAAGAATAAAAAGTGTGTCTTCAAAAGCCACAAGGTATCATAATAAATGATAACTATTGAATTAAACAATCCCTATAATATGTGCAACTCCAATTTCACATAGAAACTTTGCTTATGAAACTGACAGATTTCTCTGCAAGAGCCAAAGACTACCTAACAAAAACACCAATATCATACAAGTTTGTTTAGAGACAGTCTAAGATATTTTGAGGCTCTTGTGAAAGGTATTGTTTCCCTGATTTCTTGCTCAGTCCGTTTATGTATATCAAAAACCATCTGTGTATAGACAGACAACTTACTTTGTGTGCTAAATTTGTATCCTATACTTTGCTGATTATGTTTATAGTTTTAGAAGAATCCTGGTTGAATTCTTGGTGTACTTTATATATAAAACAAAATAATCTATGAGTAGACTCTTTGACATCTTCCTGTCCTATTTTGTCTTTCCTTCTCTTCCTGTGGATATTTAGTTCAATTCCCTTATTATTCCAACTGGGAATTCAAGTACTACATTGAATAGGTATATAGGGGAAATTTTTTATTGTAGATGGAGGCTGCTCACTTTTTTCCCAACTGCCCAGACCTAAAATAATCACACAGAAACTGTATTAATCAAAACACTGCTTGTCCTACTACTTAGGCGCATTACTTGCTAATTCTTATATCTTTAATTAACCCATTTCTATTATCTTATGTTTTACCATGAGGCTCGTGGTTTACTGGTAAGGTTCTGTCTGGAGGCCAGCATCTGTCTCCTTTGGCAGCTACATGGTATCTCTCTAACTCCACCTTCTTTCTCTCTATATCTCATACAGCCTGACTCTATATTGCCATGCTATAGGCACAAAACAGCTACTTTGTTAACCAATGGTAAAAACAAACAAACAAACATTTTCACAGAATACAGAGAAGTATCTCACAAAAGAAAAGATATCCCCTTTTCTATCTAAACAAAAAGATGTTTAACTTTAACAT